CTTAAATATCTGTAATGTTGAAATAATACCTTGGTGTATGTTTTTTAATTCACTGGGGTATTCAAGTTTCATCAAGTTTGATTTTTCAAACTTGATCAAAATAAAACTTGATCGAAATAAGAAAATTCAGATGGCGAGTAAAAAATTACTGAAATCAATACAGAGATATTTTCAAGGTGAAAATAATGAATTTTTATTCATAATTATAAAATTCCAAACCGCATTTTTCACATTAAAATTGAAAAATCAATTAGCGGTTGAAACTTGTAGCACCTACCTGAGAGTAAGCAATAACAAGTTGAGCTACCAGTTTTATGTCATCTTTATTAGTTTTAAAGAGCTCTTCCAAACTATTTGCAGCTACTTGAGGCAGTCCTTTTCTAATATGGAAGTCTGCTGCTTGTCGCCAGAAATTAGATAAGTCAACTCCTGTCACATTGTTTTTCTTGTAGAATGCTACGGTCTTTTCGAAAACTTTTGATGCTGTTTCGTCTTGCCCGATTCCTAAGTATAAAGTAGTCAGTGCTCCCACTATGCCAGGCTTGTAGCTGTCTTCACCTAGGTTTTCTAAGATTTGACACGCTTTCTCTCTATCACCCTAGAATTCTAAGAATTAGTTGTTTTCATTTTTTATTTGTGGTATATACATACCTGCATTAAACAAATTTGAGCAATGCACATATTGATATACAAATTATCATCCTTCGTTTTAGCTTTCTTTAGCAATTCAATTGCAACTTGGACTTTTTCAGCCTTTATCAAATTCAGTGCTCTCAAGACAACAGTTTCTATATGAAACTCAGGCCAACGTTCATCAATCAACTTACAAGCCCTCTCACACTGGTCGGTCTGATTGATATAATAGTTGAAAATAGCATTATTCAAAGCTATGAACTTTCGTTGTTTTGATGGTAACTTGTATGTCAGCATATCATTCAAGGCTATTTTCATTTTCTTCTTAGAATCAAATAAATTTTGATCCTTATTTATGCAGACCACATTATTACAAGCTACCGCAATTAAAGCAATGTCTTCCAATTTCAGCTTCAAGTTGCTGGTATACAGCTGATGACTTTCTTTTATTCTACCTAACTTTTGATAAACATAGCCGATCTGAATCCTAAAATAGTTGATGTAGTTTTAACTGAAAACAATATACAAATATTATAAATAAGTTATAATTCCAACAATCCAAAATCACACTGTAAAAGAAAAAATAAAAACCAAATTTGATATCATTTTGAAAAGTAATGCAATAACAAATATAAACGTGTGGTGGTGAAAATAATCATCATCAAATAACCATACTACAAGAATTTCATTCAAAAATCTATACATCACGCATGGCAAAAAATATCTGAAAAATTTCAGCTTCTCTTCTCTGAATGTTTCTCATGTGTGTCACTTTTTGAGTAACATAAGAAGTTTGAGATGAAGAAGTGTCTTATCCAAAACTATTAAGTTCAAAATTTTCTAATGAGAATGCATTGCTTTTTAATATTATCAAGTATACAGTATATCCAACAGAAGTGTGGCTTATCAAAATAACATTTTTGATTTTAACAAAACAATACAGTATGTAAAAGCCAAATGGAATAAAGTCATTATTTCGGTTACTGTACATATTTTTAAAAAATCCCGAAACACGTCAAATGTAAATTTAAATTTGACATTCTTCAACATAAAAATGCCACCCCTACCTTCAACCGCCTTCGAATGACAGGTACAACCCCCAATTTTTTAAATGGGAAGTATAGGTTCGTCTTCCATGAGCTCCTGAGTAGGTATCATTTTATAGGGATGAATTTTATTATTTTTTAATATGTTTACTATCGATGTATCGTTAACATTGAATGTAGTGGATGCCTGTCTACTCAATGTATGTGAGTTTTCCTCAAACTCGAGCATCACATCTAATTTGAGTTCATCACTCATTGCATTGGCACCTGCTTTTTTATCTGCCCCACATGACCAAGCTAGCGAAACTGCTTCTCTATTTTCCTCATTGTTCCTTGAGATATGGGCGATACTTCCTGTTGTATTCGAGTTTTATCTCACCACGAAAATTATTTACAGATTTTTAAAGGATACCATCTAAAAAGAACATTGTTATGGTTTTTGCTTACTAAACTTAAATTAAATTCATTGTGAAAATTCAATAATTATTATTATCATAGTTAGTGTTATTAAAATTTTCATCAAGTAACGGGTCGGATTGTACCTACTCATAATATATTTTTTATTTTACTCACTTTATGGAGATTTATCTCAGACATCCCAGCATAAAACTTGAAAATTCCAACTTTAATCTCCGAATCTTATTTTTCCGACTCTCAACTTGGAATATGTGCGTGATCATTTAAAAATTCCAAACCATGTGACCTAGATGGCGTTTTGGAAATTCTAACTTTGATTTACCTACATATCGTGTTCATCTTAGATTAGATTAGACATTTCAAACTCCAGCGATGTGTCAAATAAATCAGAACTGGCGCCTGGATGGCACACATGGATATTGTTTACGTTTTAGCATTTGTTATATTTTTCGTTTATTCTTCCAATTAGGACCGGAATTTGTGGAGCGATAGAAAACGTACCCCTGACGGTATCTTGTTGAAAAAAGGATCGTTAAGTGATGGAATGGGCCGATAATCGATGAAAATCCATAACGTATTCAAATAACACTTCATTCCGAGATTCTCACTGATCAGTTTACAAAATTCAACACGTGTTTCACCATACAATATCTTTCTCAGGCGCGTTAATACTGACTAAATTCTACATGATCAGTGCTTCATATAAAGGATAAACCGGAACCTCTGGTGTAGAATAGATCAAAAACAAACACTTTTCCGGCCACCCTCTTAAAAGAAAATGGACCAACTAAATGTGCGTCCCACTATAAGCAATAAGCGCTTACAACGATCAAAATGCTCTTTTGTTTTGGCCGTTCCACATAACAATCACGGTAAACGTCATTACTTTCGATCACGACAAGCTCACAATGACCCATCTGAAATCTGAAGAGGTTTCCAAAATGGAACCATCTGAAGAGGTGGGTCAAAGTGGACGTCGAGAATATTTCAACGCAATTTTTGAAATTGTTTTCAAAATATGTCATTCACACCTTAAAGATGATGACAAGAAAATACTCAAAATTCTACAGTATAACATGTGATAAATAAAAAACAAAACAGTCTGTTTTTCATCACTTTTTTGTAAATAACGTTACTGCAGTGATCATTTCGCAGGTTACATCAACAATGCGTATGCTTATAAATTTCCAAGGTGATTTGGTTAAGGCTTTCATGGCAGAGATTTTCATTGTTGCAATCTTCATTCTAGTGCATTCGGAAGTTCTCGCGCTGTGATCGGTAATGTTCGGCACGTTGAATTTCATACAAGCGACGAAGACGTTTTACGGGTCCACGTGCCTAATCATTTCCTGACTCGTGACTTACTTTGTGATTTACCTACTTTGTTTATTACAAAAATATTAAGTACCTGGGAAAGAAAGTTTTTGGCTTTCTACTACTTCATCTTGATACAAAAAAATGTGGGAATCTTCCGAAGAAAGTAATCAATTTTGAAATAAGTAGGTAACTGTATACATGGATGTGTAGATCATGCAAAGAAGTAACCTTCAGACACAAACTGGAAGAAAAAGACTATTAATTTCACCTGTAGCCTGTAAGAAACAGCTACAGGTGCAATTAATATTTTTTCTTAAATAAGGGGTTGTTATGTTGATTATCAATAAATGAAAATGTCGAAGACTGCATAACGTTGTAATTTGAAAATAAAAAAAAAGACTGACTGAATATAATGTTTTCCTTATTTTTGCCTCGAAACATAATCCTTGTAAGGAAGTTTCGGTTTCGGCCGAAACTGAGACCGTTGCCGAAATTCGGTTTCGGTCGTAAAAACCAGTTTCGGTCGGACACTACTTACTTCATTCGGGTTTAAAAGCCGTCGTGATTTGGAACTGAATCCTAACGTTTCACCAGCACGAATGGCTGGCTTCTTCAGAGGTTTATTCATCTTGATTACTCGGTGAACCATCGGTTCTCGGTAATCTGTACAGGTTATTATACCCCCAGATCAAACAATCAAAAATCAAGAAATTTGTAACTCTAATATATTTTGGTAAGAGAACAGACAATTTCGGTTTTTTTCAGAAAAAAAATGTGGAAGTGGCATTCAGGCCACATGCCAGGTTAATATCTTATTTTCTTTTTATTGCCAAAGATAAAGTGGACAAGATGGAGGAATCTGATGAAGCTTACGTGTCCAGAGTGTAATAGTGGCCGAAATTTCTCAAAGCGGTATGCTGAACATGAAAGGTCCTTCAGACTAGGTGAAAATGATTCGACGATTTCAAACCATTTCTTGGAATGCAACCACAAGTTCCCGAATCTAACAGATACGAAAATTCTGCACTATGCAAGCAAGGGTTGGAAACTCAATTATTTGGAATCCTTGGAAATTCATAAGCATAAGCATTGAGAAATGTAACCTGCGGAATTATCAAATCGATCTAGTTTGCTCACCAGTTTTGAAATGCGTACTTACCCACATTGTCCCATGTAAACAAAATTCAGGTATTTGTGACCAACACTGTTTGGAACCTTTGGAAACACGTGTCGAGGTGTTGAAATAACGGTTTGATGTTGGGAAAAAACTCCAGTAATATTCAAAATTGAACACTTTCAACTAATTCCAAATAAGAAAGTGAACCGATCATATATTTGGTTTTTGAATTGCNGAACAGGTATGTTATGTAGAGGTTCAGGTAATTTCTTAGAGGTAGTCTCAATTATGGTTACCTGTAGTATATAAAAATAGTAATGTTAGGATAATTTGATGTACAAATCACTTGAAAAAGCTAATGTCTTAGCGAAACATGTTGTGATGTATTTTTCAAATAAAGTTTGTGGAGATCAAATCGTTGAGGTGTAGTTTTTGAAATTACACATTTACAGTTGCTTCCAAACGAGAATCTGTTGCGAGACCTTTCAAAAATAGCTCTGAAAAAAGAAAAAATCAGATTTGTTGTTCAACTTCCAAGAAGAAAAAAACTGTTAATTAACCAATGCATAATCAACTTGAAAATCACGATAAAAAATGTTTGACAGTGGATTATTGTTCATTCATTTATCTGGTAGGTGCCTGATATTTTTCAATTCACGGAAAAAAAGGCACTTGTGAACTAGATTATACGTTCGCTACCGTTATGGCGAATAGTGGCATGACAATTGATCATAGACCAAATCCAATAGTAGTATCAGAATTGAGAGCTGTGGTGACTTGTAAAGAGAGTATTAGCAATAAGAAAATGTTTCAAACATTGGAAATTCCATAATGGAAGCGAAACCTTATTGACTTACAAGATTATACACTTTATTACCTCGCTTTGTCAGTAAGAAACTAATATTCTTGGACAATAAAGTATACTTATCTACCTATATCTTTTCTCTTACCACCTGGAAAGCTATTCATCACAGGGAACGAATTGGTATTCTTGAAACTTGAACGTATTCACAGACCTGCTATTTGATTGTTACTTGCAGTGCAATGAGTGGGTCGAGGCTCATATTTGGATCTATGTGATGATCGCAGATCAAGGAAACGTTCGCACATGAACGATTGGCAGGAGTGTGAGTGACACAAGAATAGGTCCTCTTCTTTGCCATCTCCTTGAGTTGTGTCATAAGATATTACTTCGGGGATTGATTTGACTTGGAGGAGAAACCTTATTAAGCCTTATTAAACCTTGTAAAGTTCTTCCCCCTCGACAGTTTGAGGACAATTTCGAAGACGGAAAAAGACTGTTTTCTGAAACGGCAACCACTTAAGAAAACCAAGTATCAATAATTAATTTTTTCAATTTGTAGGCAAAATTCATGATTACGACAAATAACTGACTAACTCGACATTTCAGTAGTTGATTTAGTTTTTATTTCTTCAGATTATGGGAAGTTATAAACCCAAAAAACAGTATAAAATTTTTCAACACATTTTATAAAAATAACCATCAACAACCAAATATATTTTTTCAAGATACGAACCGTAAAAAGGGGGCCATTTGAAACAATTACATGGTCCTACAAATATTGATTCACAAAAATTGTTTGTTCACTAGATTTTTTGTGTAGTTTTTGTTTTTCGGGTTAAAATGATGATCTGAGATTTAAAAATACATATCATTCATCTACATGGGATTAATTGCCGCTATTTTTCTCGAAGCACATTTGACCTCATCACCCTCTAACTCAACCACAGCCTAAGCATATTTTTTTCAAAATTTTAGAATACAGTTATAGCAGTAAATGGCATACACATTTCATTTATCAGGACACAACAAATATGCAGAACGTAAAACTAAATCCAAATCTCCATCTGGTCTCACAAGGAAGCAGTTGGGGAAAAATGAACATCGAAGTGAACGTATGTATAATAAATTTCTGTATAGACTTCATCCAGTCTTTTGAGTTCTCTAAATGCGCATTTTGGTGTAAAAAGAAAACTCACTTTCTCATTCTGTCGTAACACCTATGATATTTTTTTTAAATAAGTGGCAAAAGGAACCTAGGTCATTGGCCCACGACAAAAATGTAACTTCAACTGAAGAGGACGATAAAAATTGAATTTGCTAAACAGAAACAAGTTGTCTTTCAAAACTGTTAATTTCAATGTTTACTAAGTATTTTGTTTGTTTAGATACATTAGGTCTACCAAGTTTTTCAATAATTGTGCAAATATACCCGTTTTAACTAAGTAGGTCATTGTTTCCATTACTCAAAAGAGACAATTGTTAATGACCGGCGAACTATTTAATTTTGAAAAGTACCTTTATCATTAAAATTACCAATCATTTTTCTAAAATGTAAATGATAAAAATGCTGTAGAAAATCATATGATTCTACTCAACTATATATGTGAAATATAATATTTTGTTATTCTCCAATTACGAAAACTATTAAGTTGAATGATGTAGCCTACGTGGTAGGGGATCATCATGAAAAATAAAACTTTCCATGTTTTTTTACCACTTGTATTTGTATTTGACGTTACTGCAGTTTTCCAAACGAATACAATTGTATTCACCACTTGTACTTATAACTAACGTTACTGCAGTTTCGTCCTGTGAGAATTGTATTCGTCTGAAACTGCAGTAACGTTAGCTACAAATACAAGTGATAAAGAAACAGAAAGTTTTATTTCACATTTTTCACAAAAACTATTTGTTTCAGATATTTTTTTGTGTTTTTCTGAAAACAACATGGAAATAACCAAGGTAGCTTTTGTTATCAATCTTTCAAATATTCCAATTTCAAACCGGTCATCACAACAAAATCATCGGTTAGTATAGTCGAATTAAGCGGTATTGTGCATAGTTGAAGGTGTCGGCGCCTGAAAGGCCAAAAAAACCAATACAGAGAAATACTCGTAAAGCCGTCTACGTGGACTAATTGAATAATTTTTACTAACCGAGTTTCATGATTGGCTGAAGATCATAAAATTGAATTTGGAAGTCATGTTACGGTGACGAATAGAATGCGAATAACAGTCGTGTTGTCAATAATGTTCAGTTTAGGCACTGATCGCGATTTGAGTATTTGAAATTCGATATTGGTCCTTGGACAAGTACTATTAGTAATAACGAGTGTGATAAACAATGCGAAAAAGAGATACCAGTGAATAAGCTTCGGATGTAGCCGTTACTACGTGGTAGGAAATCATGATGAAGAAAGGAGAATAGAAATTTTCTGTTTTTTACCACTTTTACTTATAACTAACGTTACTGCAGTTTCGTCTGATATAAGGACATTTTCAAACTTAAACAAGTTTATGTTTTATACCACTTTTATTTGTAACTAACTAGTTTAAAGTTTAGGTTTGAAAATGTTCTTATATAGGAGGAAACTGCAGTAACGTTAGTTACAAATAAAAGTGGTAAAAACATAGAAAGTTTCAATTCTCTTTTCTTCATTTGAATATTGAAACACAGAGAGTATGTTTTAATGTCTGTAAGAATCTACATCTCAAGTTTGGAATCGAGGGAAACAAACTATTACAAGCAACATATGATTTTACCGAAATTCCTTTCTCAACTGTACGTAAAATACCGAAACTTGGTATGACACTCTCGACACAGTTACGAAAGGGTGGAGAATGTGTACGCCTAACACTGATGGGTTCCGAATTCTTTGAAATTATGTGGAAAAAAACACGTTAAAACTATAGAGCCCCGTTAAATTATAATGTTTCTTGAATGACGCATTTTGAGACACCATGACGTCATGTTTTTTTTTAAATGATGAGACATCCTGTAAACCTCGATGGCAACCATGTTTTTTTCTATTACGTTGGCAGCAATGTTTTTTTCTTTAACGCTGAGAGTCATGTTTTTTTCTTTAATCCAATTTTTCATTCATTATTATTCCGTTATTTTTGTAATTCAGCCACGCCGACGTATTTTGAGACACCTTGTATGATAAAGCTATTGTATAGCGAAACACCAGTTGGGGTTTTGTAAATGGTGTATAAAAAATCTCGCAATAAAGTGTTACTTGAATACAAATAATAAATGAATAGAAAATGCTCTGTTGATCTAATTAAAATAGTTGAATTCAGAATGTTATACTAGGGCGATCACAGAACAAAGTTACTTGACAATCTATTTCTACATATTTCTTATATTTCATACTTACATTTGACTTTCTTAAGATATCAATATTAACTTGTACAAGATTCGTAGGTCTGAGGCAGATGGAAACAATATCTAAAGCAGGAGAAACATCGGACACCAAAAAAAAACACTACTATAATTATCCATTCATAATTTTTTGTTGTCATAAATCAACACATTGGTCAAAGGCATAAATTGAGATATATGGGGTGGCAGTTGCCCCCCAATACCTGTATTATTGTTTGTTTCTTAAATATATATTACTCAATTGGACTGCTGTCCAACTGAGGATGCTACCATGTAGTGAAATGCGTATTGGAAAATATTGTGAAAATTTGTAGTTGTTATGATGAATAGTGTTATTGATTTTAACCAGGTAAAGGGTCCGTGTATTCAAAATATAAACATATTTTCTCACTTCAGAGGTCTCTGTAATCTCAATAAAAATTTGCTATTCCTGTTGAAATGCTGAATTTATGTGTAACGGTACAGACCACTTTCAGTTGGGACTATCAAGATGAAGTTTTACAAAAGTACTATTACTATATACAATCTTCAAATCCAACAATTGGTCTATTGACATTTGAATGCCTGATAATTTTAGAAGGCTAAAGTCTTTTTCACTTTAATCTTATCATCTTCACTCACTTTCTTCCTTTGCAGCTTGTCATAACCTGAAAATTATATAAGAGCTTTTAATAAGGTGAGATCTATTTATAAGCACATGAAAAATAACTATTGAATATTGAAAACCATTTTTTTGTGTGTTACTTTTGTAGAATTTTGAATAACATAATGTGAAAACAGTAACAATTATAGTGGAGAACTTTATATAGATGTAGAAAATGGTTAACATTTAGTTTGCCTTGATAAGTTCCTTCATAAATTAAATGTATTTTTTGCAAAGAAATCCAACAATGAACATCAAGTTGACTGGAACAAGAATAGAATCATTTCCAATGAATCAGCAAATATTCTTTTATCTCGAGAGAAGTGTATTTCGAACAGCTCTATAGAAATGGATCTTACATTGGGGGAGCAATCGCATAACAATACAGTACGTATAACGATGAGATTGGAACCTTTGGTGTGAAAGTTGAATAACTTTTTTCGAGAGTGCAAAAATATCAGTTTGGTGTTAGGGCAATTGATCTCAAAAAAAGTTATTCAATACAGTACGACCTTTGTGGAGAGTTCATTTTGGAATCAATTGTTTCTTCCTTTCTTTGGAAGATTCCCACATTTTTTTGTAAAAATGAATCTCTCCTGAAAATATACCCCTTTAAATTTAAACTGTAATTTATATATCATCATATTTGGCGCTTCATCATGCACAAGAGTTATACTCATTATATCTGCATGTTCAACATAATTTTCTTCCAAATGATTCGTGAGTGCTATTTTAGTTCAATATCTGATTATATGAATTTCACAACTCCTGATGGCAACTACAATAACAATAGCAGGAATTATAATCTCATAAAAAAACAATAATGAACAAAAAAAAGGTGGATTTATTTTTATAAAAACATTCTCAGAATCCCAAATAAGCCATGGAAACTGTTCCTGGGAAACTTCTTTCAGATTTTAGTAAATGTTAAAATATTTTTGAGAGGAAGACTGTGTTAATTCCATAATAAAGGTTTTCCTAGATGGAAAATTATGCAAAACTTTTCATTTAGGAATTCATCCTTTTGGTATTTTTTGGAATTTAACGTTTTGCCACATTCTCAACTGGCATTGTCAAGAAGTGTTTCATCTTTTAGTTAATGAATGGTAACTGGAGTTACTAGTTGAAATTCATTATTATTTTTAAAAGGTTAAGTATTATTTCAGAGAATGTCAATCATTTTTCACTTCTTTTTTGATTTTTTCAATGGGACTAAACTTATAAATTCATACCTAATATTTTCTCCTCGTTTTTTCTATATTGTTCCATAATTTCCTCCCGAGTTCTATCTGCATCTAAAACTAGTACTGGTGTAGTGTTTAACTTTTCATCGTCTGTCATTAGCCATCTTTCATGGCTTTCATGTAATTCTGTTAAGTACTGAAGACTCACTCCTGTTTCTTCTGGTCTACCTCTCTCTTTTACCCTCTCATAAACTACTTCAGGGCTACTTCTGAGGTACACTGAAAATGTAATTTTGAAATAAATTCATGAGAATAACAGAACGCTAAAGGAATATTTTCTGATTGATTCGGCCGTTACTTGATGAAGATCCATAGTAATTTCAAAAACTACACCTCACGATTTGATCTCCACAAACTTCATTTGAAAATAGGTGGAAAATAGGTGTAGTTTTTGAAAGGTAAAGGAATATACCTTCGACTTTAAAATGATATCATCATGTTGTAATGACATCAAGTAAATTACAGATGAAGTGTATGAATATAATGTTTCTATCAAATATTTGAAACTTTTATTTTCTTCAGACAGTATTTCACTGTTCGATCAAAGCAAACATAACCACTGACACTAATTTGTTTCAGGATTTCCTCAAACCGATTTTATTTACATAAACCTTATACATACATGGGTGAATGAAATATAAACGAGACTTTTTGACCTTCAGGCACAATAGTGGAGGGAGAATGTTCCCGCTATGTTTGTTGTTGGGTAGATTTTTCAGGAGTAGGGGAAGCACGTCGACCCTCTCAGTATTCACCGTGACGATGTCGGAGCAAGAGGTACATCCGTCAATTGCGCAATGTGTTGTAATCAAGTTTCTCGTCGCAGAAGGCGTAAAACCGGCCGAAATCTTGAAGAGATTGACTGCCCAGTTCGGGGAAGATACACTGTCGCGAGCCAGAGTGTTTGCATGGCATAAACAGTTCGTGGAGGGTCGTGATCGTGTTGAAAATGAGAGCCATGACCGCAGACCTCAGCGAACAACATCAGCAGTGTTCGACGTCTTATTGAAGATGACAGACGTCGTACCACTTCTGAAATTGCAAGTGAGGTCGGGATAACTTATGGAAGCACTTACTCCATACTCACAAAGGAGCTAGGGTACCGTAAGGTGGGTTCCTCGCCTTCTCACAGCTGATCAGAAATTTCATCGTCTTCAGGTGTGTGGGCATCTTCTTGCACGATTTCAGGAACAAGGAGACCAATTTCTCACTCACATTATCACCTGTGATGAAACATGGGTGCACCGCTACAGAGTCTAAACAAGCAAGTATGTAGTGGAGAAAACAAGGAGAACCTGTACCAGTGAAAGCCAAGTCACGTTTTTTTGGCTGACACCATTTTTATAACCAGCGTGGATTGCTGTATCTCGATTTTTGCAGGACAATTAATGCGGCCTACTACTGCGACGTTTTGAGTGAGGTCCGACTTGGATATCGCCACAAAAGACGAGACCTATTGATCAGGGGAGTGGCTCTTCTCCATGACAATGCTCGCCTCCATACAGCTGCCTTGACTAGGGAAAAATTGAAGCAAGTGGGGTGGGAAACATTGGAACACCCTCCTTACAGTCCAGACCTGTCACCCTGTGACTTTCATATGTTTGACCATCTCAAGGAATCTTTGGTAGGCCAAAGATTCGATACTGATGCTGAGGTTGAAGCCTACGTGCGCAATTGGCTGCAGACACGACCTGCTCCTTTCTACGTGGAAGGAATTGGAAAGCTGCCTATCTGCTGGGGAAAATGTGTTTCCAAATCAGGAGATTATATAGAAAAATAAACTATATTCTTTTTTGCGTTTAAAATAAAAATAAATTGCCAAAAAAAAAGTCTCATTTATGTTTGATTCACCTAGTATATGCCAATTATAAAAAAAGTAATAAGTGTACAGGGAATCAATTTCATTTTTTTTTAAATTTAGATTATTTAAAATAATCACTTAGAAAACTCTGAACAATTATAATAAAATGTGCTTAGACCTAATATAAGTACCGAGATTGAGTGGAAGGACCAAACATATCCAAAAATCAATTCAGCCCATTATGATGTATTTCTAAATGATTCTAGCAGTTCTAACCAATTAAATCCAAGCTTATATCTTCATTAGCTCTAATCCATCTATACCATTGGTCTAAAACAGAGTAATCAGCTCCATGTAAGTATCCACTTCTGTAAGCGAGTTCCAGGAAACAGAATCTATTGTTCTGTATTGATCTCTCAAACATCTGAACTGTAGTAGATGTACTTGAGGGTTTGGAAGTTTGGAGCTTCAGTCTAGTAAACTGAACGTAACTTTGAAACACTCTAAGCCATTCCTTATTGTTTGAATACATGAGGTCTAGGAGATTGTGACCATCAAGATTTCGCCACCATTCAAGAGGTTCCTGTAAATTAATTATTTAAAACATTAAAAGAATGTTAGATATGATGACTTCAAATTGTTATTGTATGGAATATTTTATAATAAAACATGCTTGGAATGCAACTGGAGAGTGCCCCAAATTACCTTATAGCATTTCTTTTGAAAGATGCATTGGTTTCAGTGGCATTAAAAGCCTGGCCAATTCCTGCCAAACAAAAAATACTAATAGCAAAAAGCTAACAATTGGTAATTACATCTGAATAGGTATTATGATTTGGACAATATGGAAAAAAATGGCTCTCAACTGTGAAAGTTTCAAGATACAGGGTGATGTGGAAAAATGTAATTTTTTTGTATTTCATCATGAATCCTACATAGCATAGAATTGTTCAAAGAAAATTCTCATTTATAATGATTACTTAAAGAACGGTAGCCTGGTGGGTTGACTTTGGTGGTCAGCTCCACTCATGCCGGAGAATCGATTTTCACTTCCTATCATCAAACCCATGTTAGGATCACACGTTAAAAGGTAAGACTTTGTTAGTCCCTAGATCACATAAGTTTTGACTTTTGAGTGTTGTTGTTCATACGGGGGGCGACAGCTGGTTAACGGAAAAACATAACAAAAATTGATCAAAATATATAAAAGGTCTCATTAAACTTCATAGGAAATAATTTCCATATGCCGCTATATGTTTCGATATACCTGTATGAATTGATTATTGTGTTAGTTATTTTATACCACAAATTGAGTATTTGGGGTCATTTTTTCCAGTTTTCATTTCAATCTTTTTTTTTTGATAATTCCAATTTTTCAAGAAATCATACCACTTTCAGTAGTGGATTACACAGTAATTGAAATGAATATCAATGGTAATTATATGCATTCGTAATCTTCAGAGATTTATGATGCACTGTTTGGAACCTTTGGTGTAGTAATGAATATTACTGGAGTTTTATCCCAACACTAAACCGTTATTTTAACACCTTCCTTTTGAAGATGATTACTTGGTGATCATGTCGAGGTGTTAAAATAATGGTTTGATGTTGGGAAAAAACTACAGTAATATTCATCTTCAGAGATGAATTAAAATATATTTTGGGTCTGATTGGAATTGTCTAGTCTTTAAAATATGTTATGAAAATAGTGGACACATCTCAACATCAACAATCTGTAACTAGAAAACTACTCATATCATTGACTTGAGTCCATAGACACTTTTGATCAGGAGTTCGAATTCTGTAATTCAAGAAAAATTCGAAAAATTTGTTTTTTTGGATAAATACACAATAACATTAGTGTTGTCAAAAGAATGGAATACACTATTTGAAAATACACTGATGTCCATGACTACGACATTCGTTAGAAAATCGCCACTTCCAGAAAGGTCAAGCTTAATATGAGTAGAAATTGGTGTTGAAAGTAACAAATGTCTTTCTCTACAAATTACATACTGAACCAGTATAAGAACTTTCAAACAAGCGATTTTCTAACGACATTCGTTAGAAAATCGCCACTTCCAGAAAGGTCAAGCTTAATATGAGTAGAAATTGGTGTTGAAATTAACAAATGTCTTTCTCTACAAATTACATACTGAACCAGTATAAGAACTTTCAAACATAAATTGATCAACAATTGATAGCCACATACATTTTATAAAATGTGTTAATTCACCTATATTTGCATGTGTGTGTGTGTATATTTACTCTTATTTTACTTAATTTTTGTATATCATTATGAATTTAAGATGATGAATATGAATATAGTTGTTTCGAAAGGGCTTTTTCTTCAGGTTTTTGTCTGAAAGTTATTTCTTTGCATTATCTACACATCTTTGTGAAGAGTTTATTCTGAAATTGATTACTTTCTTCCTTTCTTTGGAAGATTCCCACATTTTTTGTATAATGATGAAGAAGTAGAAAGCCAAAATCTTTCTTTCCCAAAAACAAATTTCTCCTAAAAACATACCTCTTTCAATTTATAACACTGAAATATTTCACATTTCAATTTTTTTTTACATCTATCGAGGATGTTTCGAAAATAAAATGAACCAAAGAAAAAACATTCTTATTTTCCAAAAGTTTTTCTCTGAAGGCATGTCTTATTCAAATGAATAATCGATTAAAGTATAACTAATATTTCTATGATTTCTCTCCAACACTTTAGTACTGGATATCTGAAATTTGAGTACTTACCCAAAAAAATATGAAGTAAGTACTTGGTATGTGAATAGTTTATACTTAATAGTTTGAAAAAATGAAGAGTACCTACTTGGTAATAGAAATCAATCAAGTAATTTGAAATATACGAACTGGATGAGATTAATTACTTTCTTCCCAAACTTACGACAACTGTGATGACTTGTTTCTTCATATTCTGAGTGAGTTTTAATATTCATCAGATTTAGATAATTACTCAAACTTACTGGATATGTATCAATTTCTGGCATGTTTTGAAAATACTGGATGAGTGTGGACTTTCCTGCACCAATGTTGCCTTCTATAGATACTCTGAATGGTCTATCTGACGGAGTTTTCACATTTGTCAACTCTCTCAGAGGAGATATTCCAACAAAATTTGATTTTTTTGAAGGGGACACCTCAATACTAACGTCTGATCTTTCCATACCACTTGAAGTAGTTATCACTCCTTCCATTTTGTTGTAGTTGAAGGTAGATATTCTGAAAATTCAATTCAACAATTTAATCAATAGATACAATATGTTTCTTATACACTAAACGTCGGTAAACTTATTCAACATACTTGTGAAATAAACATTACAAAATACCTCGATAAAAGATTTTCTCTGATAAAACATTTTCGATAGATATATAGATATTTCAGAAGTCACTTTTGAACACAGTATGATCCAGTATATGATTCATTTTATTTAATGAGAAGTAATTTCCTTGTGAAGCAACAGGCATGATCTAAATTGAATCAAAACCTTTTTTTTATATAATTTTTACCGGAAACCAATGAAACCTCAGACATATGACTATTCTTTATAACTAAATAAGCACCAGATGACCCAAATAACAAAAATAAATTGACGCAGATATAAGTACATGACAAAACATTTTGTAAAAAAAACGTTGATCTCCTTTCAATAATCAGACATGATAATCCTACCTAATATTTCAAAGTTGGGCACTAAACAATTGAACAGGTTAAAAGAGGTCACCTACACAAACAGTGATAAAAACCATGGATAGTAACTTCACGCCAGTGTAATGCATAAGTAATAATTACCTACTAGGAATCGCTTCACTTGTGTTAGGATTCCCTTAAAGAATGTGGTGGGTTAACAGAATTCCAAAACACTTACCTTTTTCTACAGGTGAGTATTCCCTTTCTTATATCTTGTTTGAACGAGGAAAATAGTAGTGTAAACCTGCTCATAAACAAATATTATAAACTATTACTAAAATTATAGTTGGCCGGAGAATTATAAATTATAGCCTAATTCTAACCAAAATCTTAATAATGGAAAATGGGAATGGCTTTTAGACCGATTCGACAGCTTCGTACTACAGAACTCTTTCTATAAGAGACCATCTGTCGAATGATGTTGAAAAATTGAATTTCAAGTATTTGAGATTGTTTTTTGCTCAGAGTAACAATCTGAGGTTTTTTAAGATCATTTTCAACTAAAATTTAACAACCAGGTGAATGGAAGGGAGAGGATTATACGTCAGTCCACGTGTATGAACCATACAAAAAATTTTAAATATCAAGTCATTTTATACCATATTTATCATAAAAATATTTTTTTCTTGAAACTCTAGCACCACCTGCAATTCAAAAGTTAAGACAGACCTTAAGGACTTATATTCATATGAAGTTCTTTTCTGAAAATGAAATTAAAAAATTTACCTCCCTTAAGGTAAATACTCAATTATTATGGACAGTTTAAAAAAAATGTGTGTTTTCTGGAATTATTTGAATATTGTGTACTGAACATACTTTATACTCTGTACATCCAAGCAAAAGAGCGCTCCAAAACATTGGAGTGATTTCCCAGACAAGGCTGCTTGTACACAGTCGTACTTATAAGGAACGAAAAATAGGCTCAAAATTCCTTCAGATTCATGACCAGGACTACCAACTTACTACAAATACACTTTTTCCCTGAAAAAATTTTAGTCCTGAAAAATCAGAATTTGTCTCACTTCTCATGGAAACATTCCCGTATCTTCCGTAATAAATGAGGTAGAATGATGAAACTCTCAGGACTGACGCAAATGCTTGAAAGGAACATACCACTTAGGTATATGGGTTGGTCAAATTAATATACACTGCCCGCCACTCGCGATGGAATAACCCATTTTTACGGTAAGACATACTAGAGGGCAAAATAGGCTCAAAATTCCTCCAGAATCGTGATCAGGACTATCAACTTACTACGGATACACTTCTTCCCTGAAAAAATTTCATTCCAGAAAAATCCGAATTTGTCTCACTTCTCATGGAAATACTCCCGTATCTCTCGTAATTATTGAAGTAGATTTTTTTTTCATAAAAACACGAACTCGTCTTAGAAAATCAGAATTTTCACATGAAGAATTAATTGTTTAAGAGAAACTTGACTTTTGTTTTCACATAAATAATTTTTTATCTTAGTGTCAGGAAAGTTATTCTTTCTCGCAAATTCAATAAGAGAGAAAATGTTAGTTTTGTAAGTGGAATGGAAACATGATATCAGTGAGGTTTTAGGATGGTTAATGTTAATTCAGATTTTCATCTTTCCATTATTTTCAAAATACCAAGTATTTTTTGTGTCGATAAATTTTATGTAGTTCGAAGTAGTACTTTCAAAATCACATTTTCCATTAAAAAACAAAACAATCAATTTCGATTATTGACAATTTTATATTTTTGTGCCTTCTATGAAACTTCCCTCCAAGTTCTTATCAGTTCTTTTGGTGTGATTTATCTATACATGCTCGTATAATTCTTGCACGTAGATTTTCCCTAAATGTTGGCCTATCCTTATAAACTTCATCTTTCAACTTCCCCATAAATAAAAATCCAGTGGAGTAACATCTGGGGATCTTGGTGGCCATACTACGAGAGGGCTATTGGGTCCAATCCTATCATAGGTAGGTTCCTATTCAACCAAATCCTTGTTATGCCACTACAGTGAACTGGTGAACCATCTAACTGAAAAATCATGTTGTGTCTCTAATCTAAAGGTAGTTCTTCCAACACATTGGAAAATGCATTTTCGAGAAAATCAACGAATAGTCGTCCGTTTAGATTTTTATCGAAAAAAAATGGCCCGACTATATTTTCGTTCAGAATACCACACCACACATTTATTTTCTGAGATATTTGGTGTCTACAATTCACCATCCAATTTGGATTTTGTTCTGGGAAGATACAACACCTTTCGTGGTTAAGGTAGCCTCATCACTGTATAAGATATACTTCAAAAAATTCCTGTCATTGAGATACTTTCCTTGCATCCATAAACAATACTCCATACGGCGGATTTCATCTCCTTCGTGCAAAGTAAGTAGAAATTTGGGTTTCAACGCATGCATTTTATGCCTCTTTAAACACCTCCATATCTTACTGCGGCTTATATTGAGTTGAAGCGATACGTTTCTCAAACTAATTCTAGGATTAGCTTTATAAGTCGCCAATATGATATCATCTTCAATATGTTGTTTTACAACAACTTGAAGATGATACCATGATATACAGCTGATTAACGGAAAAACAGATTTTAAACAAATTTTTTTAAAACAATTTTTCTGTCCTTTGTTACTTGGCCGGTGTTCACGAAAAGATTATATATTTTAAGGACATTTCCAGGGTGTACAGCTGCCTCTAGCGGCCGCTTCACGATATGACTTCACCAACAATTAAACAATTTCATTTCTTTTTATTGACAGACGTACCATGTTCAAATCAAATCATTTTTATTTCCAGAGACTCTTGGGCATGAAAAAAGTCAATTATACTAAAATATAGAAATTCACAATAAAACAGGTTTTGATATACAGGGTGTTTCAAATTCGATCCTCACCATTGAGATCTCGGAAACTATGACAGATACGAAAATGATTAATTTGTGGCAAAGTTGCGCATTCACCTGACTAACAATAGGTATACCGTTGAGAAAGTTCTGAAGTTCCGAGTATATCCGGAACAAACAGAAATTTCAGAAAATGGTTTTCATTTTTTTCTGGCTTCCGTTTCGTCTTCCGGCCACCATCATCAACTTTATTTTTTCTAATAGGGGCTACACTGGATTCTTTCTGTTTTGAATAGAGCCAGATTTTACTTTTTCAATGATTTAAAGACAAAAATAAATAACAGCAAATGTTCAAAATGCTGGCCTTGTTCATGATAACACGTCCTTCTTCGAATATTATTCACTGCACGATTAATTGTTATAGTTAGCCAAAGGTAGATCATCCAAATAGTCTTCGAAAATCGACATTAAAAACTGGTGATAGGTTTCTTTGTAAATTCCTGCCCACACGTTTATACTAAATCGCACTTGAGGTCGAATTTCTCGGAACTGCCTGGGGTTTATGCTCCAAATGTGTTCGTTATTTCGGTTGAATATCCCACAATTCATAAAAGTACTTTCATCTGTCATTACATTTTCCAGTAAAACAGGAATATCAGGTATTCTTATTAGCCAATTTCAAAATTCTAATCGCCTTTCGGGATCACTTGGATGCAATTTTTGAGATATGTGTATTTTGTAACATTTAAAACCGCTTTTTTTGGGATGTATCAAGCATTTGTATGACAAATATTCATTTCGGAGAAAATTTGACGTGTAGTTTTCCCCGGGTTCATGTTTATCTGCAAATTATCAATTTTTATTGAAAAGGACACAATGTCTAACTTATTTCATACATACTTCATTCATCATATTTTCTTTAGTTTCCTGGTCCATTTTGTCTCCGTAATTTTTCCTCGGCTTTTTAAATGAACCAAACCCGGTAAGATTTTGATCCAATAACTTGAACATAGTTTGATGTGGTTGTCGTCTTTCGGGATACAAGTTTAAATACATCTCCGATGTCCTAACACTGTTTCTATCGTATTTGTAATAAATTTGTATCATATATCTTTTTTCTTCATTCGTGAAAGCCGTTTTTCGCCAAAAATTCAATGACTTGTACAATAACAAAATGTCATTGAGTGTAACAAATTGAAAGGCCAATTAAGAAACATCAAAGTCAAAGCCTATTATGACAGAGGAAATATTTTTTTCGAAAAAGAATGATAACTTATGATATATCATTGAAAAGGTAAAATCTGGTTCTATAGCAGATCTGAAAACACAAATATGTAGCACGGAAAAAGTGGCATTGTGGAAGTGTAATTTATTTTCGAATCCTTCCAAAAATAAAGCCAGGAAAAAATAAAAACCATTTTCCGAAATTTCTGTTTTTTCCGGATATCTCTGGATATAATCGGAATTTCAGAAATGAAAATATCAAACAGAAGTATGAAAAAATATGACCAATTAAGTTTGAACACTAATTCTCTTCAATATGAAAGTTGAGAATATAAATACATAATAATATAAAATTGAAAATAGGATAATTGGAAATAATAAAAATGAGCTGATATCTGTTAAAATAGGAACTTCAGAAATATTAAAATATGAACACGAACTCACAAACAGAAAACAACTGGATCACTGAAACAATACCTACCCAACATTAACACAGGAACCGTGAACACAATGGAAACAAAAACACGGTAGAAGTAACAGGAACAACAGTGATGCAAGGAACAACAATACTAGAAACAACAAATGCAATGAAAACTGGTCTGGGGGTTAATATCAAAAATATTGTCATGTTGACAGTAACTATCAATAAGCAACTGTTTTCCGTGGTAATCTCAGGGCAACACATGATTTTTATTTAGTGAAACTGATGTTATTCTTCAATCCCTTCAAATGATTTCAGACAAAAATTCAGAAAGTAGGGGAAATAATCTAAATTCTACCTGTTTATAGAGTGCGATTTTTTCTTTAAAAATGAACGGTTGTTTCGGTGTCCCAATGAGTATGAAAATTAATTTGGTTTCGGTTGGCAAAATGTTTCCTCAATATTTTAATAAAAGACCCCGCACATCTCTTATGAGAAATGGCTTGCCTTGAATTTTGCCGAAATTTTGATATGTTGCAGTCCTAGAAGTGCTGATTGAGCCAAAGCTAAAAAATGTACAGTTTTCGAGATGTGAACCTTTGAAAAGAGATTTTTTAATTTTTTGCGATATTTGCTCATCAATCGGAGAGCTCTCACTTCTGATTGGAATAGATTGTGGATGTTTAGCACCGAGAATTAGTTTTACGAATGGTCTTCCTCAGTTATATTAGATGCCGCTATCGATAATTTTTCATACACTGCTCCACACTATGTCGATAATCTGAGAATGTGGTGCTGTGAGATTTTTCTCAGAGAGGCTAAAAATGGATGCCAGGATCTCACAGACAAACGAATCTGTGAAAATGTAAGCATCTTTGATACCTGAAAGTACTCTCCAGATAGAATGAAGGGGTTTAGGTATTGGAAGCGAACTATTTTGCTCCCTATTATGTTTTACCGAAAAAATGGGTTGTTCCATCGCGAGTGGCGGGCAGTGTATATTACGTTGGTTAACTCCATT